GCAATTAGCTTGTGACGCGTGGTGTTTATTACTTGCTCATTAGCATGAGAAAATTCAGCTGCACAATAATGGGTGACTGAGTGAGTGATAAATGTGCTAAACATGGGAGATAAAAGTCAAGGTCTCCTTTTACATGCATGTTACAGAGGAAATTTATTGATGTCCAGCTTCTTCCAGCTGTCAATTTTCCCGATGGCGCGTAGTACAAAATGTAAAGCAGTGTGTGAAAGTCTTATGCTCTTCCAACGGAGAACAAAATTTTCTCACTTCGGTGCACGAATTTTGGTATTGTTTCTAGATCCATTTACGATTACTTAGTAAATTCTCAAGAACAATTTGTCATTTGGAGAACTGTTGGTGAACTGTTAAAAGTGGGTGTGAGGAAAGACGATTTTGTTGTTAAACACTCGACAATCCAAGCGTATCACGAATCGGGAAATGACCTGTAATTAGGTCATTTTAAAAGTGAACACTCGCATCCTCTCCAAGGTTTCAAAAAAAGTTGTACATGCATCTTCGTCACATACTCCGTGATAACAACTATCAGGTTATCAACTGTTAATGTTGTAAGGTAATAATAATTTAATTTTCCCATACAGCCAAAAAATACATCCGGTGTCGTCACCTGTATGTAACGTACAGCCTTGCTGGATGCAATAATACATAATTTATATGGAAACTCGTTCCGATAAAATAAATTTATTGATCAATTTTATTATGGTTAATGTTATTCTATGTATTGGCGTCCCCGGTCTTTACTTTGTTTAGCGTGGTAAAACGATTCATTAGTTTATTGTGAATGCGTACTTTTATATGATTTACCTTATGCACTTTTTCGAGGAGTGATGAATATGTTAAATATGGGGCCTACGAGATCTGCATCACGGGAACATGTTTGTAAAAATTGTTTCTCACATCTAAATTATCTGCATATTACGAATTTTTGATATTGTTGTTGTTTATTTATTGATTGATAGATTGATGACAGTAGGCGCTCGGTAATCCGGCACCTGCATTTTTTCGCCTATGCCGTATTACCGGAATTGCCGGATTAGTGGATTTGAATGGGATATGAAGCATGTTTTATATTCTACATGTATTGTGGGAAATAAATTCTATCATCCTACAGTAAAAGACCAGGTAAAAGTAAAGTAAAGACGCGTGGTTTCCCTGTTAAGGTGAGGGCAAAACCAGGCAAAACCGAACGTGAAGGCAAACTTTCCAAATAACATATTTATGGCTCAGTGGTAAGAGCATTGGGTTATAAATCCGGAGGTCGGGTGTTCGAACCTGGGTTGAGGTGAATTTTTCATCTGTGGCGGAGATGGAAATTACCTTAGACCAGTTCCGAGCATTCTACCGGCTACTCCGAATTAGATTTTCCTGCAGTTTTCCTAATTCGTAAGGTAAATACCGGAGTAGACCATCTTAAGACCTTCTGCAGAGGCACCTCTAAATAGCATTATATGCGGGTCACTCTGTAATTGGGCGCATGCCTGTTGAGGGCCCAAAACAAGAGAGGGATAATAAATAAATAAATAAATAAATAAATAAGCTCAATCGCTCCATAATCCGTCTCTAGTGTCTGGGTAGTGCCGGATAATAGAGTGGGTTTTTAGTTTCCTGTACAATATTCAAACAATTTCAATATTTGCTGTACATTTATAGCATTATCAAAGTTTTCATTTTTCAAAACTCCGAAACATTCTCATAATTTCCTCCAAAATGGCCTGCAGAAGATTTCTTCTACAAGCCAAGTGAGTTTTCATTCGTACGAATAATTCCAAAACACTGGTAAGACTAAAGAGCCTTATGAACATATGGAGAAGTCGAATGAATGACTCTCTTTACGTGCTCGAGTGACACTACATAAAAAATATTACTCTCAAGTCCTCTTGAACCTGAAACACTCCACGAAAGGAAAGCAACTAATCGGTTTTAATTAAATTAATTTTTCAAAGAACGACGGTAAAACCTCGCAAATTGTAAACTACGTTACCCACCTACCTACATACGAAAGTAGAACGCGAATTTCTTGTTTATTGAAGGGAAGAAAACTTGGCAGGGAATTTAAAACACAAATTAAAATCAATAAATGATGAACGTAGATAGAGAAAGACGGGGGATGCCCTTTTTTCCACCAGCTTTTCTACAATGTTCGGAGCGTTAGCTATTATAAACACACGAAATCGTTATACTCTCAAAGATTTATGATTATTAGATTATCGGATCGAGATAGGGACTATTTGGAATACGACTCGCTCTAATTAATTTATTAGGGTTAATTTGATGGTGTATAGGAAGCGTATTGTCAATTCGATGCTGTGGTTGGTGGAATCTCTTTCTCATTGTTTAATTACAGCCTTTGCAACTATTGCTCTCTAGGCAAATTGTCCACATTCTTGAACGGAAATGAAGTATCTGCCTCGGGTGCTCGTTTATTCTCATTTCTCTGTGTCCGAGGCATGATAACGTCGACCATTAGATTTCGAGTACTTTTCAGATATAGAAATGTGAACGTGCTGCTGAAAGTTGGTTCATACGGTCATCTTCTTTAATGTGAAGAGATAAACCTCCCCTTTATGACCTATGGTCCATCTTGAAAATATGACGTTGGACTTTTTTTATTGGCCCTTAAATTACGAAATATTTAAACAGGTGAACTACTTATTTCACAAATTTTATTGGGAACATTCCTACCCTCATTATTTGATGCTCAAGAAGACAATTTGGTTTGAGCAAGAAATGACAAAAAAATGTGGAATCACATTGATGGCGAAGAAGTGAGTTTTTGAAACAACCGAGGAAACAACATTAACTTACCTCATTAAAATGCGGTTTACGTAAATCATTTACGATTAAACTTTTTACGTGTTTGCTCTTATTCGTTACATGGATGTGAATTGCTCCTTAAATGAAGGGGGCGGTGCTTAGAATATAACTAGGTACCATAATCTTAATTTTAAATATACAAGCTAATTTCGATACACTTACGATATGCATTGCATATGCACGGCTATATTCTACGTAGGGCTAATTACATCAAATGTTGCGATTGATATCCTTCATTAACGTCAACACAATTTGTACATGTATAGACTTCATTTTTCTGGAAATGGTTTTCAAACCTTGTCATTTTTCTTGGGTACACAAAGTGGGGACGGACATCATTTAGGCAATTGAGGGGTGCTCCAAGCATTAATAATATTATTGAACTTATATCTCTTATATCAACCCTTAAATATCGTCAATTAAATTTATTCACATGGGCTTCTTTTTTATTTTTTCAAATTTTCAAAAATGACTTTCAGATTCGTTTTTTTCACATTGAGAACTCTCAGACACCAAATTTCGAAGATATCATTAGTTCTTTCCCACCTCCGTTGAATGAGCAGGAAGGAACTGTGTAAAATGGCGGTTATGGTGTCTCCACCTTCTACCCCCGAATTTTTAAACATTAGTACTTAATTGTTACATATTTTTGCATTTTGCACATCAGGTTTGACAGCAAACATTTATAAAAAGTTTCAAGGTAGAGAGGTGAGGAGATTTTTGGGAAGGAAATTTTAAAACGATCAGATTTTATGGCTATGGTCTAAATAATAAAGAAATTATCGGGGGAGGGTAATCGTAAACCTAAATTTGAATTATAAAAAAGCTCTGTTTTGTTTTTAATGCGCTACTCGCTGTTCAAAACTAGCGGAATGCATTTTTTTACCCCCCGCACGTTAGTAGTTGGGATAAAAAATGACCCGCCACTTTTTTGGTTTAATTGATAAATTTGTAGGCATACAGGGTGTTCCATAAAAGTAGTGTGTATGTAACTGTGTATTTATTTCCAAAAATCAACACATTCCACCAAAGCGAAGCTTCTTCTAAAACGCCAACGGTCCCAATTAAATAACAACTCATTTACAACAAATTGATAATTATGATTTGGGATAATTTCTGAAATCATAAATGACATACATATAAGGTGGTTCAAATTAGTGGCTTACCATTTGGAGCTCCGCAACGATGAGAGATACAGTGTGGTTTAAATGAGGACAAAGTTGCTCATTTTTGTAAAAAAAAAAACGCTATTAAAATTTTTGAAAAATCTCTATAACTTGAGATATCACCTAAAAACTTCATTTTTTCATTTTCCTTGTGTTAAACGGTTGGAAATGGACGGTTTCCGTTAGCACTTTTTTTTCGGAGAATCTGAATCTGTTATCAGAATTTTCTTTAACACGCTAAATGTAGAAACGCAAACAGTCCACTTCCAACCGTTTTAGGATAGAGAAAATGATAACAAAATTTGACATTTTCAATTTTTGGTCATCTTAGTTATGTGAGCGACGAATTTGAACCACCCTGTATACAATTAAAAAAATGAAATAATATACACGGTGTTCATTTTAAACCGGCACAACCGGAAGTGCCACCAAATTGAAATTATTTTAGACAAATTCCTCTTATGAACATGAGTATACTGTCATTTTAAAAATTTTCCGAGGTGTTCTTTTAAAGAGCTGGACATTCGTCGTGTGACACCCTGTATAATAAAATAAGGTTAGCCAATCAACGTCCCAACCTTGGGACTAGTTTGAAGGGTAGTACCTATACTTTATTCAATTACAAAAGCCAAAAGGATTCGTTATGGATGAGCTGGATAATTTCTAAAGCATTTTTAACGACCTTGTTATAATTGTATGAGAAAAATCTACGTAGAAAGCAATTAATGAGTTTTTTTCTTCGCACTTCTAATGTAAATTAAATATGCATGGCCAAGCAAACAGGTTTCCAAAGTTACAATAAAATGCATCGAAGTTGTAAATAAACAAAAACTCGTGCGGAGTTAAGGACCTTTGAACGAAAGCTGCAATTTTTTTTTGTTCGCAACCCTAACCTGTTGCTTTGGTGTCGTTAAAAAGTTTTGGAATTATTTTTGTAACCTACCTCTAGTGCTCTTGCGCCGCTCGTCAGTAGATTAACAAAATATTTTTATTTATTTTCAGCGTGGAAAGAGACCGCCTTCGGGAGCGGGAGCGGCAGGCACGTGCTCAGATGTCCTCACAAGTGGCCGAAAGAGATAGAGAACAGGAGGTCCCTGGAGCACCGCTCTTCGGAGCACCTGTCAGGGTAAGTGTTAATTGGTCATTAACGGAGCTCGGATTCGGCGTTGAAGGAATAATTTAAACAAAACAAAAAACTCAATGCCAAATGAATCGTGCGCGATCACGACGCCGTTGTTTTTGTAATTTTCGCATTAAACGCTTAGTTCCTTGAACACGTTAAATTGGGTAGAGGTCGTATAACATTACATTTCATTACAAAACGTCATTATCGCGGGATGCGAGTAAATGTGAATCTATTTATGTTTCGGTATTTGCGTCTAGCAGTAGACTTAACGTGTAAACACAGTCACCAGCTTATTTTACTTAAATTTTTCATCAGCAAACGCGGTGGTGGGATATAATTTATTTATTAAGGTCAGGGGTCTTTGCTTGGTGTTTTAAAACAAAGGCTACTCGCGATGCGTTTCTTGAAAAACACGCAGCAAGTTTAAATTTGGAAAAGTTGCGCTTTAAATACACTCGAAATCATTGGCTCGTGATTGAGGCAATTAGATCACAATAAATATTTGTTGTGATTGACTCGGGTGCCAAGAAATGAGTTTCATCTTGAAACAATTTGAACGATCGGAAATGCTATGCAATATTGCTCTTCGCAACTTATAACAGGTTCGCCATAATGCCATGAATCTAATTTACAAGTTCACACATTATTAACTATACAAAAGTACAACTCTTCTCGATACTACGGGCAAAATCGCCCATTAACCCACTTTTAAAACCATATATACACTGCCCATCGAGTTAAAAACCATATTTTCTTTACAGAAATACCCACAAAATCCAATCTCGAGGGCCTGGCTATGAAATAATTTTAAAAAATCAACACATTTAATTGATTTGGCGATACTGTCCAGCAGTTAGTGTTAGAGCATAGGTAATATGACGGAGCCCCATCTTGCTGAAACCACGAATTTTCTTTGTTTTCATTGTCGCCCCCTTGACTCTCCCCAAAGATTGTGTGATCAGTGAGTCTATGATTTTTTCCAATAGATTCTGGTATAATTCCCCTGTTAAATTTCCTGCTAGGAACGCCGACAGTAATTTCACTCCCAAGAATCAGTTATTTGGGACATTCACTCACAGAAGTCTCTTTTTCAAGCGTAATAATTTTCGCCCAATGCTTGTAAAACTTTTGTATGAAATTTTATGGACTAACCCGGTAGTAACATTAGTTAATTTTGCGACCGTTGCAATTGTGACGCAGGATTTGCAGCAAATTTCTCGAGCACAATTAAAATTCCCGACGGTGTAATTTTTTTTATTGCTCAATGATCCCATGTCCTGAGAATTTACGCATCGATATTCTTATGGGGATTTCATTAAATAATTGAGTAGTTTTACACGCACATCGGTTTTAAGATTCATAGAAAAAGATGATTTCATTTCTTTCAGCTAAGGTGTATCTCAATCAAGTGATTTCTTAGGTTTAAACCAACCGATGTCTCACTGTGGGCACATTCTGCCAAAATATTAATTTTCTTACGATTTCTAAGGAAATTGAAGGCCGACATGTGAATTCCAGATAGGTACTTCTAATCAGGGTTGGAATAAGACGTGAATTTTATTTAAAAAAGCCAAGAAAGTTCGACTTTTTGAATTAATTCGAACTTTCTTGAATTAATGCGCTTAAAAAAATAAAAATTATTTTCCTATAAATCATCTAAAAACAATAAAGAAAAACAGGTTTTTGTGCAATGTGGCAAACCTGACTAAAACTACTGATTAAATAAAAACATCCTGTATATTTTAATCTATAAAGATAGCATATTAAATGCTCTTTTCAAAAACGAAACACTAAACAAATTCAATATTCATTTCAACAAATATTAAAAAAATTCCAAAAAATTATTGTGAATTTTTTTGTATGTTTTTAATCTTATGCTTTTTGTAATTTGTTTAAAATTTTTAATCTTTTCGAATTTTTTTAAATCACTTGTATCATCCTGAGTATCATCCCTAGTGTGTTTTTTTGATTTTCCCCCGTATCTCTTAAGCGAGCGAATATTTTAAATATTTTACTATACTTTTACGTAAATTTACAAATTTCAAAATTAGATGTTTTATATTCATTTCTCAACACAACATCGACGGATAACTAGAGCTTACTGAATCAACATAGCTATGGTGGCGATGCATTGAAATGAATTTCTTTTTTTGTCTTCTATCTCATTCCGTAAAAATCCAATATGGCGTGCATAAGAAATAACAGCCTGTAGCTTTTACATCATGCGTGTTATGGAAATCCTAACAGATTCAGATTCTCCGAAAAAAAGTGCTCATAGAACCGTCCATATGCGTAATAATGTATATATCGAAGGGAGGATCACTATGATTGGTAAAAACTCCTTTCGTTGAGACTTTTGAATAGAGTGCCATGAAGGATAAAACCAGTCCTCTCTCCCCAAACCTCCTCTTTGGATAAGGGGTCAGAAAGAAGGACGGCAGTTGGTCGAAAACAATTCCTTTTGTTGAGACCTTTAATTCAAATAGGTACTATGAAAGCTAAAATCAATCCCCTTCCCTGCAACACGACAGAAGTGGGTCCAGACGGACGGACAATAGCACATTTTTTTTTAATTCTTGAAATGATGCGCTAATAAGAAGCACATTCCCAAAACAAAAACCCCGATATCTTAGTTATTTTTAAAATAATTAATTACTGTAGCGAATATCCCAGACATCGGGGCGCCAGCAAGATAAAAGGACAAGAAATGAAAGCGAATGAGTTGCATTCCATTCTTTCTGAATTGTGATACGCCTTCTAGACTTTTCTAGAACGATCCGTCATGTTTTTCCAGACAGTTTTCCTTTGCTATTCATATAAACAAATTGAAGCGTGTTTAATTAATACCAGTTTCAATACCGATGCCAAATGATTATCCTAGACTTTTGAGACACCCTGTATGTAGCTTAGAGAGGGGAATTTCATTTTCAGTGGATATTTAGGCATGAAAATAACGCATTATAATTTCAATACACTCCTAGAGGCATGTATTATAAAATTCCGCTGGAGGATTATGTTCAACCATCTTAAACTGCACATGGAAGATGTACAGAGCAAATTGTGTGAAATTCTGACTTTTTTTTCTCGTCCGATCTAGAAATGTTTTTTTTTCATTTTTAAAAGATTATTTTGGATTCGGTGCTTTCCTATTGAGAAGTCCCTAGTTAAATACTAAATTTCCGACAAGACAAGAGTTATGATTGTCAAGAAAAAATGACAGAAAAAAAGGAACTATGTACTTTCAACCTTCAGATTCTCGCTCAGGTTATTAAGGATCCTCGATATCTATTGACTAATAAAAATTACATGTTGTGAGTGCGAAAATCATTCTAATGATCAAATTTGAATTATTAATGCGTACAACTCCATGAGAATGTGGTTATTAAACAGGGGAAGTTTCAACAAGAAGCAAACATTATGAGACTCGTCTTATTTGTTGTATGGTAGATCTCAGTAGCATATCCATTAACAAAGATTTTGATTAATTTAATAGCTGTTTAACCGCCGTCATCAACGGTTGCTCAGCAATTCACATCTAATACATTACTTAGTTTAATTAAAGGCATCGAAAGGAATGAATTGCTACCTTGATTTAAATGGGGACGCCCTCGTACAAGACGCGTTTTATTTTTACACCTGCCCTTGTACAAGACACCTTTTTCAATTTGTGTAGTTCAATTAAACACAATTTTAACTCAGCAGTTTTACTTAAATGTATACAACATGTACGGCGGTGAGAAAAACTTTGTTTTAATATAGAATATTCACGTGCGCCAACGTCTTGGAAACCACAATTTCCTGTCAAAATTGTAGACCTTGTTTATGAAGTGTATAAAAACATGTTATCACAATAACAACCTTGGAGTTGTCTCACGATTGCTTCTTATCAGTTGCCTTGTTAGTAAATATTTCTTATTTCATTGTTGAGCAATTGCAATTTTCAGATATTACAAAAGACCTTGAATAGATAAGGTGCGAAACTGGATCGGAAGTGGTGTGATCAAGTTTAATGGACTCACTGAGCTCCTTAGTTTTTTTCGAAAAAACCAAACGTATTAACGATGTTTTGATAAGTCAGAGTGTGAGACGCATTTTGATAGATTAATGTGTTTACTATCTCAAAAATATCATTTACGTTATACAGGGTAGGCCATTTAATGCAATAAAAAAACTTGGTTGTACCATTTAAAAAAAATCAAGATACCTTTGATTGAAATTTTGAAAATTGACGAATGATGACGAGCTTTGACCGTTCGGCGTATACTAGTACTTTGCATGATTAGTAATCACGGCCTTCTAAGTTTTATAACTGCGATATTTAATTTTTAGCGGACATCTACTTTTTGAATAAATGACTCATGTCACACTAAATTTGACCAAGGAATCGAAATATACAATAATATACAGGGAGTTCTATTTACAGAAATGCAACTATGATATTAATCACCCTGTATAACCACTGCAATTTCGTTGAACATATTTTTAGGTTGTAGCCTTAACGGTCCTTTAACATGCCCCCCACGATGAATTTTAAATATGTGTGTTAATAAACCCACAAGCTTCCACCCAGAACAGATGTTTCGTGTGCTTCTCTGGAAAGCGTTAAAAGGCTCTGGAAAACATTCCAAACGCTTTCTATATAGCAATCGAAGGCTGCAGCTTTATAACGCCTTTCAAAACTTTTCTAGTGCCCCCGAAAAACTCTTCATTCCTGAGGGACCTCAGAAATCTGCTACTTTCGTTTCATTGTATGTTCTATTAGAAAATTCACGCAGTATAGCGTGCCACAAACAGACGGTGAAAAGTCAAATGAACAAAATCGCCCACGAACTTTTAGATGTGTGATAACTGAAAATAAACTTTTCTTATAGCGTTTATTACGTCATTAACTCATAGTATTATGTATATTATTGCGTTTTATGACGTGTTTATGATGTGGGTTAACGGTCAGTAGTTTATTACAAAAAGCTCAACTTTGTTGATTATTACTGCTGGTACCT